TGAAAAGTCTATACTTTCCCGTCATGCTCCTAACTTTAGTTCCGTAAGTTATGTCTCAGCTTTTGAATTTTCCGGGAAGTTTCTTTTAAATTTTTTTATTTTATTTATCAACATGGATTTTACCCCAGCTTATTTATTGTTGTTTCATGTCAACGGACATGTTAACATAGCTTGCATATACATTATATTATGTTATCTTTATGCCATTCTCATTTGCCTATTGTTTGAACTGCTCCTGAAATTTTCCACCAAATCCGCCCCTAAATGTATTCAGGTTTATGGGTTTGGCTATCATATATGTTATCTAATGGAGTGTTTGACACTGTTCAGAAAATGGGCGATAATAAAGTCACCGCGCTATAAATATTATTGTAATGCATTAGCTTAATGACTTAAACATTACGTACTTCTTTGTAACAAAAGTGGTTCGAGTAGAAACCCTGCAGTGTACTTTGATCAATGTTAATACTTCTGCATCATGATTTGTAATGTAGTTGGGCGACTCCGATTCGTTATGGCTACATGCGTTATTGCAAACTTCAGACTTTTCTAAATCACTGAACGTGGACACATTCTGAACCTTCAAAAGTATCAAACGCTTAAAACAATACCTGATTCATTCAAGCTAATGCTCAATCAACACAATTACTGGTCATTCATAATGATTTCTGTAAATCGTGATAAAGTATCGTCACAGCTTGGTAATTACGTAATATGATATATAAAGTTTTATCGTAGCTATCTTTATTTAACATGGATGATTTCGGCCAGTCTTTTTACCCGATCACTTCTTTAGTAAATGATACGGAACTTAATCAGTCTGATCGAATGTTTGGTGATACAATCATTTGTGTAAACCATTGGCGTAAGCGACCTTACAAATCCCCTGCAAGCTAAGAGTATCATAGTCGAACTAAACTAAGCACTGGAAAAATTTCATACCACTCTCTTGCGAATTGGGCATGCTCTTGTGATCCCGTAAAGATGTATTAAGCTAAAAACATCGTACAGAACATCACCTTAGTTGTGGCATACAAACCATGTTGATTTAAAGGCTTAATTTAGAATAAAATGCTTGTAGCTTCTGTTTACCTATTACTCACATTTAGGCCTAAAGGGCTGTATTTTTTAGCCATCGTCTATAAGCACTATTGTGGATAGCTGGTCTACAATTGTGTAAGAAAATTGAGTTTAGAGTATGTCTCTCACGACTGCACTAATATTAAACTAGTTATTGTCAGCTGTCCATATGAAATTCGTGAAAATACCATCGTTTTCACATGATAAAAGACTTTTAAACTACAGTTAGCGGTATGCATTTCACTGTGGCTTGTTAAGTCACTTGTTAAGAGTTGAGAATTATGTAGCAGAGCCGATGCTGCATTCCACAATCTATGGCTTACGACTGATTTATTCGCTCTGGTTGCCACAGACATTGATGAGTCTAGGTGAATGCTCGAAGTTCAGTGATCCACCTGATTAACCTATCCAAGGTTCAGCAGCATCTCGCTAGTACTGTGCATGTTCTTCTTGGTTCTTGAAGCAATTTTATACAGACAGCTTCTCTTGGGATTTTGAATACGTAATCAATCATAACGCTTGCATCAAAATATCTAACAGAAATGGATCTAAGCTGATCTCTGACACTAGTAGAGAAACAAAAGTGTTGTAGGTGTTCAATGTCGAGCCACAATTTAAATTATGTGTGGTATTTACGGAGGAAAATAATAACGCATATTCTTATGTGTCTATGTACTTCATATGAGTTTGAGTGTCACTTGGAAACCTCAATACTGTCGATTCATCTGAGTTACTCCTAATTGAGCTCCGTCCAGAAAAGCGACACACTTTTGGAGACGGGATACATGATGAAAAAATTTTCTTCCAAATTATTCTTTGAGTAGGTTTTGAGGCCGGTTTTCAGTAGTATATGGGTCAGAGTATCTCAGGAAGTAGATTGACATCCTTTAGTATTATGTGGTTTGTTAGATTTGGAGACTCAACAGATTTGCGTTTTTACTAAATATGTAGCTGTAGTGTGTACAGCTTAAAGATTACTAAGAGAAGAACGGAGAAAATCGCATCGTCCCTCTGTGTTCTAAATAATCAAACTTGAAGCCACTTTGACTTCTTACTTACTTACGCCTGTCACTCCTATTGGAGCATAGGCCGCCGACCAGCATTCTCCAACCCACTCTGTTCTGGCCTTCCTTTCCAATTCTATCTAACTATTGTTCATTTTTCTCATGTCTGTCTCTATTTCTCGACGTAATGTGTTCTTGATCTTCCTCTCTTCCTTTGGCCTTGAGGATTCCATGTGAAGGGTTGCATTGTGACGCAGTTGGGTGATTTCCTCAAGGTATGTTCTATACACTTACAGCGATTCTTCCTGATTTCATACTCCACTAGGATCAGGTTTGTTATTTCCCACGGCAGGTTGTTGCTGATAATGTCTGACCAACAGATCCGAAGTATTCTGCGTAGACAACTGTTAACAAACACTTGTATCTTCTGGATGATGGCTTTCGTAGTTCTCTAAGTTTCCGCCCCATACAGTAGAACTGTCTTGACATTTCTATTGGAAATTCTGACCTTGGTGCTGGTTGATAGTTGTTTTAAGTTCCAGATGTTCTTCAGTTGTAAAAATGCTGCTGGTACTCGTTCTTCATCCCAAAATCTTGCTGAAGAAAATGTGCAGTATCTTTACAATTACTGCTACATCTTTCGGTGCCTCTGCTGGAGTGTTGTCTGGTCTTGCTGCTTTGCCGCTCTTGATTTATCTGATGGCCATGCTGATCTCTTCAATTGTTGGTGGGCCAACATCGATTGGGAAGTGCTTCTTCAATGTTCGGTGGTTTCATTAGGGCTGGTCTATTCAAGTGTTGTTCATATTACTGTACCCTCCTGTTCCGCTGTTCTCCAATGTTGGTGACTACGTCACCCTCCTTGCTTTTCACTGGTCGTACCGATTTACGATGATTTCCAGCGCATTTATCTGTTGTATCATACAATTGTCTCATGTTTCCTTCTCTTGCAGCCTTTTCCGCTGTCGATGCTAGATCTTTCACATATTTACGTTTGTCAGTTCTCATGCTTTTCTTCTCTTGCTTGTTTACTTCTGTGTACTCAGCTTGTGCCTCGGTTTTCTATGCTCTTGTTCGGCTGGCATTGATTGCTGCCTCCTTTCTTGAATCTTATCCAGTATATCAACAGTGATCCATTCCTTGTAAAAGAGTTTTTGTGATCCAGAACTTCATGGCATATTGAAGTGACTGCCCTCTTTATCCCTTTCGAGTTTCTCTCCAGAGTAGCTCCCTTTCCATTGAGTAGATCATGAAAGGCCTGGAATCTATTACAGAATACTTTCTTGAATTTGTTGAGTTTGTCAGTTTCTCGAAGAATGTTGTTGTCCGCTCCGTTCTCCTGTGCTTCATAAGCTTCAATTTCATCTTGGCGGCCAGCACGTGATAATCTGATGTTATATCAGCTCCTCTTTTGGTTCCCACAGCCTATTGTAGAATTAATCTCTAATATCTTGACTGTAGTCATTGGTGGGCTCATAGCATTAGATGACGTTTATTGCAATGCCCTCTTTCTTTGTTTTGAAGGAGGCTTTGATGATCATTCGTCCATGAGATTCCCGTCCTATAACTGCATTTTGTGCTTGTTCTGATAGCATCAATACAACTCCTTGTGTATGTTGGGCATTTTCTTCTGCATGACCGGAGTATAACAGAAGCTCCCATGAAGCTAGTTGTTGCTGTCCAACCTGCGTTCAATGTGTTTCACTGATTCCAAGAACCTCCAGGCTATATCGCCTCATTTCTGCAACATTTTGGAAGACTCTCCCGGCCTACCACATTGTGCGAGCATTCCATGCACCTAAATAAATGGGTGCTCTGTTTGTCAGAAGAGGCGTTAACCTCGTGACTTTTAAATGAACTCGGCTTTCACCATGAGGCATCATAACTCTTCTAAATGAAGACCTTCTAACTCCCAGGACAGAGTCTAAATGGTTTAAGTAATTTTCTCTGGCTAGTGTTTTTTCAGTGAGTTAATTTCCTACGGAATGGAGTCGCTAACCCCATGCCCAACCCTCCTCCTTTATCCAGGCTTGGGACCGGCAGTAGCCCCAGAGGGGATCCAGGTGGAGTTATTTTGGCTTCAATGAAAGTTATATCCCCTGGATTCATTTATACGAACTTTACCCTTGATTTCTTTGTTTTTACTCTCGGTCTTTTTCATGGGTTTATAGTATTAAGTTTGTCTTTATTTGTGAAATTTTCAATTTTACATAGTCCTTTCAACTATTCAGTCTCAGTGCTTAGGTTCAGCTAACATTCTGGAGGCGCTAGGTACTTCTTCAGAACAGCTTGAAACGTTTTAGGAATACATGTATCTACAGTTCAGAGAATGTTTCGTCTACGGAAGTACCGACAATCGCGGCCACAATTCCTCCATCAGGAGTTGGGTTTAAACATCTGTATCTTCATGCTCACTTAATGCTAGATTCGCTGAATTTACTGCCACATTCTTATTTTGCCACATTGAATAACAAACATCAACGAAGGGTCAACATGAAGACGTTAATCCAAGATAAATCGAACAACCATATATGTGCAAATGCTTCCACTATGTCATGGACTGAAATTTTCAACACATGATGTAGACAGCAACCGCCAGTTACTTTGAGGTAATCATAAATAACAGAGGGTTTCCAAAACCAAATCTGATGGCAGTTAAAGTAACAAGACGTGTGAGGAAAGTGTTTACAAATCTAACTAGGTAAAAGCGTCAAATATGGGTTAGAAAATACACATGCGTAGATAATATTTTTTTGAAAACATGTGATTGTGAAAACAGCAAGGTCTGTTTTCTCAAAATGTAAACAAATTCACCTTTCCTAAAACTTTCATTCACAAACCTTGGCGAATATTATAATAAGGTATCTAACTTCTTCATGTAGACATCTCACGATAGTTTGTTTAAATAAATAAGCTAATGTTTCTGCCAATGTTATATCGAAGGCCAGCTATGATGACCATGGCGTTTTGCGCATTTTCACATTTGCTGCATGCTTTTTGTGACAGTTAATGGCCACTCTAAAAGCATCAAACAAAGAACAATAATTACCTCTTATTATGGGAATTTGTTTGTGTCTTCAAAGGAGTCCGAAACAATGTCAAAGCGACGGGGGGTCGCATTATTACCTAGGTTCGACTCCAACGACCGCAAACAATGCGGCAAAGTACCTTTGTCACCAAACGCTTGAAGTTACGAATAATGGAACTGCTGTCGACATTGCTCCAACAAACGTTAACCAAGTAACATTGTACAACCTCGGTCCTAAAAATTCACTTGCGGTCTCGAGGAATGTTGTGACTGATATGCATATGTCTTGTGTAGCTGCTCAAAATAATGCAATTACGTCAGCAATATCTACCGTGTCTCCGGGGGGGAATGGGGTCCAAGCGAGACCTTTGGTACAGGTTCGCGCTCTTTATTCGTATCAGGGCCACAACCAAGATGACCTCTCGTTTCAGAAAGGAGATATAATGTTTGTTATATCTGGTATGTCTGATGCATGGTGGTTTGCACGACATTCCGACACTGGAATGAGTGGTTACATACCCAGTAACTACGTCTGTCTGAATGATGGACTTCCGACTAGCTTAGATGCCTGGTATGATATAGGTCGACGTGAAGCTGATCGAAAACTTTTGTTAGTGGGGAACCCCAAAGGAACATACCTTATTAGACCTAGTTCAGGTGAGTTTTCCGAAAATCTGACTTTTATATAACTAGTTCTTGTATCACTTCAAACGAGAGACATTGAATTAGTTGTGATGTTTTAGAAATGTTAGATCTATGTGATTTTTATTTAAGACTTAGAAATGAGTATATAACACTTGTAACTTCTCGAAAGTCATTGTCTGGATCAAAATTATGGTTTGCTAACTAGATATCCACGTTTATCACTAGCCAATTCATGGTCGATTTTCTCTTGCTCGTCATTTTAATATACGAGTCGTGTAATTATATATATATATATATATATATATATATATATATATATCCAATCGATCCTATAAGTAACGTAATTTTCCAAAAGTAATGCAAGACTAGAATCGATGCCAAGATTTCGTTGGACAAGTATCTCACCGAAATTCTGATACAAGTGGAGTGGTTGTTCGTTCTTCCGTTATTAGACGGCTTAAATAATGACCGATTCTAGGACAACATTGCGGTTCGAGGGAAACTCATCTCAGATACTTTTACAATTGCTCAAGGCGATCAGGCGGCTTCATTTGTTAGTATTTCCACTAAACGGGACGATATCTTGTGGATATTTTAAGCTGAGAGGTAAATGTGGTAGTAGATCAATTGTAAAAGCAGCAAACAATTTATGTTTTACGGCAAGTAACGAGTTATTTTTTGAAACTGCGTTGGGATACTTCCATGATACACAAATCAAGTGACTTGTGTGGCGCTTATGTATTCGGTGCTCTTTTCTACCAATATTTGTGTTCAAATAAATAAACGGCACTTGAAAGTGTCAGGTCGCTTTATAATCGTGCCCATGCATAGTGTGTCCAAGGGACTATCTTGCCAACAGATTTAAAACAACCAAACCAAGATATCGCACTGATAGACCTAGACGTTAACTGTTTTGCGTTATCTCTTAATTAGTAGAGACTATGGTTTGGGACCCACGAGTTAATTGTAGTCAATAGTCGCATATCTTAGATAATATAATTCAACGGCCTCTAAAACATTAATGTATTGATTCTAACTTTTTCGAAATATCCAGCTTTGTATTATTTCATTCTTTTCTTACCAAATCGCGAACATTTTCTTTTAAAGTGTATTTAGACCTAAATTCATTTGGTATTGTTTACTTGGGTCTTCCCATTGATGTTCGGGACTACAGTTGATCAGTCACTTATTGGCATATGTACATACTGTGCGTATTGCCTTAATTCACATCTTTATTAATGCTTGAGTCCGATCGCTATCATCTACCTGGTATCATACATCTAATGTCAAAATTGCTCCTAGTGACCCTAGCATGCTCGACCTATGCATGATTCCTGGGCTGTTTGATGGAACTAACACCCCTGCTGCGACTAAAGGTGTATGTATAAGGAAACTACCAAGATATATAAAGCAGTCAACGTGCTTAACAATGTTTCCTATAGTCAGCTTAAGCATTAGCACAGATCAATTACAAAGCAGCGTTTTGCATTTGAAAGACGTAACACATCCAAAACACTTGTGCTGTTACTCAAATAGTTTAAAATACTCAATTTAGTCCGCATCTTCACGAAGGAGAACTATACCATCTGGTTATGTACTTTTCATCCAGTTCATTTCCTTTAGGTCTGCTGATGTGAGGCGTGGCAACGTGTGACATTACATACTCGTCCCATGTCCTACTTTGTTAGTCACTGCTGCCTGTGTTGGTAAGAGATTCTCCAGATCAAAGACCATATCTGTAACCTAATTGAATAAGAAAGACGTTGTAGACTGATTACTTGACCTCCTCAAATCAACCCCAACGATAGCTAACAATAATTGAGGTTGTACGTACGAAACCAGTTGACTTGGAGGTTTGCCGAATTTGAAAACTATTTAGTTCGAGCTTCATTTTTTAGGATTTTGTCTTGGTCTCCGATTGATCACCCAAACGCCCTGGTACGGCAAACGGAATAAGACAGTCAGCTCTTCTCGAAATACTCTCATATCGTCATGCGTATATAGACACTGACAAGGAAGTCCCACTCACTGCCTTCCCGCAGCCGGTGTGTTGTTTCTGAAATTGAGAGGACGAAAAACGAATGTTTGGCGCTTTAACCGGGTTAGTGGATATGGAGGATCCACTTACGGGAGTGGATTAGACCTCTAGGTCGAAGATTTGGGGAGTGGCATCCTAGGAAAGCCACCGGCTTCGGTTTGAGTACCCCGGCGGTATTCTTCCCCCCCACGTTAATCTAATGACGAAGTGTGAGGCATATATATTTGGTGCCTCATTGTACCAATGCTTAAATAAATAAATACTAGTAACTTACGAGTATCGTCTACCCTTAATGGCCACAGTTTGCAGACGTAAATTAAAGCAAAACGAACTGCTACTTAGTATACTTGTTGTTTTAATTGATATACTAGTATTTCACCTTCTCTATAAGTGACGTAAGTTGGTCAAAGCCAAACGAGATTTCGGGATCCGTGCAGAAATTTCGTCAGACACCAACCCATTAGGGCTGACCAGACTTCCAAGATAAGTGAACTTATCGACGCGTTCAATTACCCCTATCCCTATCCTTAGTTCAGGTGTTGACTCAGGCCAGTCCTTAAGCAACAATTTGCATTTAGAGGGGGGAGAAACGCATTTCAAACATCCTGGCATTGTTGCTAAACGCTACCAAAAGACTATGCATTTCATCAGCGTCTTCATCAAGTAGGACTATGTCATTTGTGTATTCCAAATCAGTAAGTTGGCCTCTTGGTAGAAGATCAATTCCCAAAAATTCAGACAACGAGAACGTTATTTCCACCAGTGGGTCTATGATAAATTTGAACAAAAATGTAAGTAACGGACAACCTGGATGGACACCACTTGAAGTTGGAAAGTCAGATGACAGTTCATCATAAGCTCTGATTCGACTGTTAGAGTTCGGGTAAAGAGCTCTCACAATGTTTATATACTTTTGAGGTACATCTATGAATGACAGACACTGCCGCAAAGCCTATTGGTCTACAGAATCAAATACTGCTTCCAAGTCAAGGAAAACTATAATTGGCGGACGCCGATAAGTATATCTGTGTTCTAAAACCTGACGAATGATGAATGTGGTTGGTGCAGCCACCACTAGGTCTGAAGCCAGCCTGATTTTCTTGTGTCTGCGTTCATCTGTTTTGCTTTCATTGCCCACTACTGCTCACGGTGGTTCCATAGACTTTTGGTTAACCTAGATTTCACTTGTTTTCGCTCGTCATCGTGTTCGGAACCTAGTGGGTTGAGTTTATGACAATCTATCTGTGCAAGACCTAGCATAAATCCACTGGTTTTTCGTGACTCTGATTCAAATGACCAATAGATATCTCTGCTGTTTCTATAGCTGTGTTGTATATCTTTCTGTTAGCTTGATATATATTGGATTAAAGCATGTCACGTACAGGATTGTGATGGGGCACTCTGATTGGTTGTTTTCTAACCAATTAGTGCTAGCGGAGATTTGGTGAAGATTCTAGAGTCTTATGTAGAAATTATAAATATACTAATGCTTTTCTTATTGTGATTACTACTTCCATCCAACTTTCTTATTTGAAATATAATTACGTTCCTGTTCAACCGTGTTCTGATTTGGTAACTGGTCGAGTGAAGTAGTGTCCGAAAATACTAAGCAACGAGAGTATCTGGGTCAGCCTTGTTTTCGAAATTGTCTAAGTGTAATTTCAGTTGTTTCTGGAATCTACCTTTGACTTTATCGTCGCTAAGTTCAACTCGAATGGGTCTTCTTAATGTGGTCTTTCTGCATCCAGTAAGGCTCAAGCAAATATGTGCTCGTATTAGAACATGATCCGAGTCTAAACATGTATTCCAGAACGAGCGACATGCTTCTATCGAGCCCCCAACTATGACTGATGGCAATATGGTCTATTTGAGTCCATCGTTGGTTTGGTGCACTGGATCTCCATGTTAGACGATGTCTCCTGATGCTTAAGATTAGTGCTTGCTAGAAACAAACGATTATCTGAACACAGTTGTAGTAGACGATCACCATTATCTGTTCGCTGGGCTGGAATACGCAAGATACGCACGTAAATGTCTTTCTGCTTGGTTTAAGCTACCTATTTGGGCATTGAAGTCCTCAACTGCCCTGGTATGGCCGAGAGTTGTATGGGCCCGCCCTCCCCCTCGAAATGCTCTCACATGGCCACGCGTATACAGCCTCTGCCAGGGAAGTCCTACTCACTGCCTTCTCGTGGCGTGGGTGTTGTCTACGAAAATGAGAGGACGAAAAGCGAATGTCCGGCACTTTAACCGGATCCCAAACCAATGGTGCACATGGGCTAGCTCCAGTATCCTGAGGGAACAAATGGCTCATGAGCCGATCGTTGGTCACCGGCTTCCATGGGACTGCATCTCCTTACGATGCTCCACTGCCTTGTGGGTCAGACGTTCAGGTCGAAGACTCGGGATGTGGCCCCCTAGGAAAACCACCTGCATCTGTCTGGGCACCTGAGCAGTATCACAGCCCACATACAAATAAAATTTTGTGTTGCGCATATATACTTGGTGCCCTCTTGTACCAATATTTATGTGTTCAAATAAATAAAGTCCCCTTCTACGAGTACTATGACTGAGTGTTTAGCTTTTTGGAGAAATTCAGAAAGCCTTCTGTGAATTTCATCTTCCACTTCATTCGACTTCAGTCAGTGGGAGCGTGGGCAGAAATGACGATAAAGCAACTGCGTTCATCCCCATCCTTCCGAGTTCCTACGGGGTCGTTTAGCCGGACATCACATAGGCGACTGTCGTCCGTACTACGCAATTACATTTTAAAAAAAGCAATCTCTTATCATGTCATTGAACTATCCTTACTTATAGATATAATTTACAATCTTGTTAAATAGGTAACATTGTTGCTCTCTTTTCTATATGATCATTATCTCTCAGTTTTCTCTTATTTTTATCTAGAAACCCAGAATTATGCACTCTCTGTTCGACATTATGACTCCGAAAAAAATATGTGGGTTGTAAAACACTATCGCATTCGAATCCTTGATAATAACGGTGGCTTCTTTATTAGTATTCGCACGACCTTCCCGAATATTCAGGACCTCATAAATTATTATACAGGTATGATGCTAGATATTTCACATAATTTCATTTTTATAATTTCTTGTAACCGTTATATCATTAATACTCCGCCTGTAGCTCTTCTCGGGTCACAAAACCGGGTAAAGGAGGAGGGTTAGGCGTGGGGTCAGCAACCCCATCCCGTAGAAAACAACCTTGCTAAAAAACGCTAACCAGAATAAAGAATTTAAACCATTTAAACTCTGTCCTGGGAGTTAAAGTATCCTTCAGAAGAATTAGGACACCTACATTCATTTTTAGATCAGATTTTTGGCTTATCTGACCGGTAAGTCTTGGAGTTGTGATTTTCTTTGTTGTTTTCTCTCTCGAAACCTCTCATACACATTCTTGTCATCAACATCCCCTAACATCAGATTGTCTCCAAACTAAAACAAATCTACCAAATGGCTGGATTTTATGTTCAATGTAGGTGTCACTGTAACGTTATATGGTTTTTTCAATCATAACTTTAAACTACTACGATCTGAGTCGATCCACTTAATTCTTAAGAGCTTTAATAATTCATTTATACAAAACAAAATAATAACTCATAAATATTCAAATATTTGGTATGGAAACTATTTTTCATAATACTGTGATCAATATCAAGGTGATAAATCTATAAAATCATCCATACCACTATTTATAGCATCAAAAATCACTCTTGCCAAAAATAGTCGAGTCATCAGTATTGATTTTTAGCAAAACAGTTTAATTCATGTCTACAGCTCTATACTTTTCAACGAGCCTGAAATAAAATCGAAATTGTAGAATTAGCAATGGTGTTAAGTGAACTGTACGATATAGAAATTCCCGGATCTGTCTAAAGCGTATTCTAGTAGCTACTAATGAACTATTTCTCTAAGACAAAAAGAAGACTGCAAACACACGTGAAGATAGTGTATTGGAACTAGATAAATAATATACAAAAGAAATATCTTTCCATGCAGGTATGATATCTGCTGCAGCTTGAATGAAAGCATTGAGTTTTGTATTTCTTTGTACGTCTTTTACGAAGATATATTGAATGTACAACAGACTCTGTAATGAGGTTGGGTTCTGTATTATTTAGATTAGGATAATTAGTTACAGAATAAGCAATCGAAATTGGGACGGGCTCACCTGGATTTTTGAAATTTATTCTATCAAAATGGGACTTAAGTGTACTGGGGTCGCTCATATTCAGCATGTATATCATAAACTTCTCAATGTTCTTCGGTAGAGTCCTTTGGATAAGTCACAAACCGTTTCTTTAGTAATATGTAACCCATGAAGATTACGAGTATTTCATATTCGGACAGAGTTCTTCCTTTTGATTATTTGAATAAAGGTGATTTTTGTTGCAGCATACTTGATCTTGTCATATTGTTACTTACTTACGCCTGTTACTCCTCGTGAAGGAGCATAGGCCTCCAACTAGCATTCTCCATCCAACCCTGTCCTGGGCAATCCTTCCCAGCTGTTCCCAGTTGTTGTTCATCCTTTTCATATCTGATTCTATTTCCCGACGTAATGTGTTCTTTGGCCTTCCACTTTTCCGCTTCCCTTGTAAATTTGTTCCAAACACTAAAGTATAATTGACATTTTTGGGAAAGAGATTTCTCTTCTTAAATTATTTTCATAATCATTACCTATCAGATTTTAAAATATTTTTCTCATTCACTTAAATATGGCGCGAATATTTTGTTTTACAGTACACCCAGATGGTTTATGCTGTCGATTGTCTATCCCATGCCCACGTGCATATCGTCCACCTGTGCAATTTCGTGATTTTGAAATTAATCGTGATAGCATAACAAGAATTCGAAAGTTGGGTCAAGGTACATTTGGAGAAGTATATTTAGCTAAATGGAATGGTTCAGTCGAAGTAGCAGTTAAAATGCGACTCGATCCTACAGATCGTAGTCGATTTATTGAAGAAGCACGCCTTATGCATGCTTTTCATCATCCACGTATTGTTCAACTTTTGGGCGTATGTACTGAACCGGAAGACCAACCAGTTTATATTATTACTGAGTTAATGCGTAAAGGAGCTTTATATGATTTTTTACGTACAGAAGAAGGACATAAATTGACTTTGGATGATTTAATTGATATAATGGCACAGGTGTGTTTACCTTTTTGTTACTATTTTAAGTTATTTGTACAATCAGTTTTCGCTTTGATTAATTTAAATGTTTACCATCTTCAGAAGCTAAAATATGATATCTTGTTTGTTTTTGTTCACTAGCTTGCCATTCTTGTTGTATCTGTAAATCAATTAATGATGAGGCTAATTGGTACAATAATTAAACTAACAAAAAAGATAGTGGTATATTGAAAATTGGATGTCATTTACTGGTTAGTGTTCAGAAACAATCTAGGTGTCGATTCTTCAACATCTTAAATCTCGGGTTGCATTTCTGATACATATTTAATACTTGTGTAGAGTAATGACTTAGCGGTTAATGCATTCAACTTTTAACCAATATCTCTGGTATTCCAATCCCCACTTAGTATAACTATATCTCACACAAGGTGTGACTCATTACATAAACATGTACGTGTTGTTCGGCAAATAAATCACATATATAGTATTTTTCTGTTTGGGAATACAGACTTATCATATTTACGTTCAGTAGTATTATCAGTGACCGTTGTACAATGAACCCAAGGTCCGAGGACGGAGTCGTACTGCTGACTGTACAGAGGTGTGACGGCAATGAGGTGCTTCCTTCAGACAACCAGCATAACAGCGATACTGTCTTCCCACAAACGATGGATGGGGTTAGAAAAGGTCGATACTAAAAATGCACACCTCGCCTTATCCCACGGATTCGCGTCTCCGGCGATAAGGTCTTAACAAGTACAGAGCCAACACAACAATTACTCGCAAAAAGGTCGTGCGTGACAGGCCTCAAGCAGTTGTCCCTTAGACACTGCGGTCACACACTCAGGTCACTAAGACCAACTAACCCAATTCTCTTTTCACGTACCTCTAGGAAAACCCTTCCACAGTGTGGGCAACCGGGAAGTGATAACCGCCCTCATACCTCTAACAGCACTCAAGACTACTGCAATGAATTTAACGTACGGTCTATTATTTTAGGATTATTGCACAGTGATAAACTCGGCTTATCTTTCTTATTATATTTATTTGACATTAATCAATGTATCCAACGGGACGATGTTTTATAATTTATGAAATTAAAATAATATAGAAAAAGAATAATAAGGAAGATAGCAAGTTACATTTTTTGTGTTAATTTAAACTAGGTATAATGATATCAGTATAGACTATTCAATTTGAAAGTTTTTTCCTATCATAATACTAGATCAATAATTCGCTTTACGATAAAATACGAATTGTGTATTTAATATCACCCAAAAAATAGCCGAAAAATATTAATCTTTGAAGTGTTCTCCCTTCACTTTAGTTTAGTTTTGGAGGCTCAGTGGAAATGTACTAATCTTTGGTGTTTTGTGAATTTAATTCTTTATGTATAGTGCAATAAATAGATACAATTTTGTTTGTTTTCTTAGGATGAAACTGCAACAGTATTTTTTAAATTTTAATTTGATAGATGATTGGTCTACAACTAGTTATCTATATTTACTTCTTTTTATGTGCCGTCCTACGACTGTTATTGTTTTCCAAAAAAACTAAATCATTACCATACTGACATTTAATGTATTAGCTTATATTTTAATAAATAGTTAAATCAATTCACTAAGTATTGACTGATGTCATGTTTATCAAGCCCTTCTTAATGCTGATTGAAATCTATCAACTAATTTGTGATTTGACCACTAGTGTGAGTGATTCAACATCACTAAAGACTAGACAAACGGAACATTAACTACGACTCAATTAATCAGTTGTGAACATCTTAATCCTATAAAGGTCAACAGTGGCTAGAATAAGTTGGATGTCCCAAAGTTCACCAGCTCTACCAAGATTACTTGCACATCTTTTTGACAAGTGCCAAATAGCATGAAACATATCCAAAGTTTTTTGTTGTCGAAATGTGATCCATTTTCGTTTCGCACAACTACGTATTGCCACATAAACCTTACCTGACAATAGTCTACCCTAAAAAGCCCGAATGTACTAGCGGATATCTATTTACTGAGTCGCATATATAGAACATGGCCTCTAAAAGTAGGGGGTATTCCTAGGTTACCAGTGTTTGATTTCATTTGTCTTCGGAGCATTGCTTGTGTATTTATTTATTTTGATGTGAAACCAGTTGATGAGGTTGTAAATCTTCATCGACTGGGATGTTTGGGCCTCGTGTTACGTATGCCTGAACACCGATTACCACGACGCGCAAAAGTGACTGGTGTTGCAGACGGATGGAAGTTAGGGGCGGTCAAACCAAAACTTAGCATCAGTCTTTAAAGTCACTAACTTCTGGTATGAGCAATGTTGGTAGATGCAGACCACCTGCTTGGGGTCCGCGTGACTATCGTAACCAATGGTTGGAGACTCTTGGTGACATGGCTCAGAATCGATCACAATGGCGTCGGTGTATACACTCTCTGTCTTCCCTTAAACTAAGAGATTAAAATCGCTTCATGTCTTTCTTTCTACGAACTAATTCTTTCTTCCTGTATTACATCCTATACACAATATTTTATACACTACTACCTTTGATGTGACTACTTCTATGAATCCGGTGTTCATCTTGTTGTGCTAATACGGTATGGCGACTTGTACCGATGCATATATATATGCCTGGTCCTACGTTTTAGATGACTGACTAACTGCTCGTATATTTTGGTACAATCGAATTACTAATTTTAAGGTTAGACTCATAGGACTACGTAAGCATGCTAAATCAATTGACGACGTGGTTAATCCTTATTGACTGAAATGGTTAAGACGTGTATTACGAATGCTCATCCACTCTTGTTTTCCCCTACATCCCAAGTCCCTCATAAATTTATTTTATGATTTAACTAATTTATATTTCCCTCTCGAACTGTATCATGAATTTTTAATCTTTTTCATTACCATTAATTCTGTTACTACCTGTACTACTCTGGGATTCGCTCTGACAATTTCATCTTTGTGTTAATAAGGTATCGCAATTTGAACCAATATACACAAGTATCGGGTTCTACGTTACAACTGGTTGACTGTGCATTAAGGTTCACTACATTTTCTAATTAAACTAAATTCATATTAACCTTTTTTTGAATTTCAATTGTATAGATTGCTAGTGGTATGTCGTATTTGGAAGAAATGAATTCTGTTCACCGAGATTTACGTGCAGCTAATATCTTAGTGGATCAAGATTACTCAGTTAAAGTGTCAGATTTCGGACTGGCTAAAATTATTAGCGATGATTCTCATGCCGATCCAAGTAAGAAAAACCTGCTCTCTCGCTAGTCATTGTGTAATGGATATATGAAACCGAAATATTTACAATTTATTCTGAAAAATAATCACAAAGTGTTAAATTTTCACTGTTAACATCGTCGTTGAAACGTTTTTATAAGTAATACTTTAATTGATAATTAATAATTACGCCTAAAAACCTAATTAATAGGGGCACTGCAATTTACTCCATTTCGAAAGAACACGGATGATAGATAAATAAACCCAGATTTTGAAGTTATGTCGTAACAATCTCATCCTGATTGTTAACTATTTTCGATTTTCATGGATTTTATATCATGAATTGCTCTTACACTGCCATTAAAAGCTTGAAGGCATTAGAAAGCCGTTTCGTTCTAGTATGGGACTCCACCAATCCACACAAACCACCATCCCTCTGTAGAAGATAAAACCTAGGACCTTCTGTTTGAGTTATAAACTTATTTCCACTACCTTTCTGGCTAGACGTTCTTGTTAAAGAATCGTTGGGAGTGACTCCTTGGTAAAACCATCTATTTCGGCTTAGACAGCTGAACAATATACCAGTCCACACGCAAATATTTTTGTGTGCCTCATACTATTTTTTGACCTCCAGTTATGCCAGATTCTATGTAAATTAGATACATACGAAAAAATGTTAGTTTTATTATATATTCTACTTATAGTTTATATAACAACAGAAAAGATATTTTTTATGCTACCAGTTTAATATTTACATGAAGTTGGTTTTTTAGTTCATCTAATTGTTGAACTGATTTTTTTCTTTCTCTCCCCTTAAGATACTAAATTTCCTATTAAGTGGACAGCTCCAGAGGCGGCTTTACAGCATATCTTTAGCATAAAGTCTGATGTATGGTCGTTTGGTATATTGATGTATGAAATAGTCACTTACGGTGGAACGCCTTATCCAGGTAACCAGTGCTGTTCATCAAAATTTTTGCATGCCGTTTCTAAAAAAATCGATGTTTTGATTACTCGTAGCTTATTTCTATATGTTACATATTTTGATTTGTGGGAAAGGTCTTTTCTCATCGCTTACTATCATATATATATATATATATATATATATATATATATATATATATATATATATATATATAGTTCTATTTGGACACATAAATATTGTTACAAAGGGGCACCGAATACATATGCGCGACACAAGTCACTTGATTTGTGTGTGGGCTGTGATACTGCCTAACAATAGGTTCATAAACCATTTGTTCTCTCAAGATCCTGGATCCCATATGCACCACTGGTTGGAAATCGAGGTTTTTCAACCCCCAATTTCGTAAACAACCCCGCCACGAGAAGGCAGTAAGTAGAACTTCCCTGATAGTGGCTGTATGCGCGTGGGCACACGAGAGCATTTGGAGAGGGAGAGCGGACTCTCCCCATCCTTGGCCGTACCAGGGCATATATAAGGGTTAGTAGCAGCCAATAATTTGTCGAATATTCATGATTTGTAAGAGATTTGAATACTTGAGTCCAATGATCTAATAATCAAAAATTCTTATAGCTATATTATTGTTCAGAACTATGTACAATATCCTTCTTATCTGTTGATTAGTGAAATATACTGTGAAATTGGTTCATTCAACGCATTCCTTATTCGGGGTCAGGTTGTAAATGGATTGATCATAATTTGTCAAATTGTGCTTTTTCGTATTCTATCTGGATAATACATATCTGGTGATATAGAATAGATAGGATGTGGCTACCAGTGGAATGGATGATGTGCGTTTTGCTTTACTCTTCAGTTGGGTGTACTTGCTTCCCAGCGTTCATGATCACCACAGGATTCGAACCGAGTACCGTTCACTTCAAATACCATCGGGTTATCCACTTAGCTACTGAATCTATATAGCCACTCACTTGTGCAACGGCTATGGAATTGTTTGGATCATCCCGTTGTGATTTGATCAGTCTTGGTTGGGCTCTGCGGTCACGCTCTCAGGTCTTCAAGACCAACACTAATCCGATTTCCTTTTCAGGTTCCTCAAGAAATACCCTTCCACGGTGTGGGCAGCCTGGAAGTGACACCAGCCCTCATGCCCGTAACAGCACACGAGACCAAGTTGTTCACATTCAAATCCTTCCTACACCTCCTAATAACTCTCTTATCTCCACGATTAACCCTTCTCACGTCCCTCTATCACCTCGCCCCGCTAGTGCAGACGATTCGAGTACGCAGAACGTTATACCTGGTCTCCTGAAACCACGCTCTAAATTACACGTAGGAGCTTTCAACGTCCAAACACTGTGCCAAATAGAACAACAGGCTTCCTTAGCTAGGACTTTAGAATCTCGCTCCATCGATGTGTGCTGCGTCTCCGAAACGCGCACACAGGATCCCAGAAGTGTCATTCATTTGACCTCACCATGTCAAAGTAACGAACCAACTCGATTTACACTTCGTGTATCTGGAAGCCCTGATGCTGCTTCCCCGTAACCTCGCCAGTGTAGGTATAGCATTGAGTCCTAGGGCAGAACTAGCTCTCTTAGACTGGATCCCAGTGGGCAGTCGTTTGTGCGCTGTCCGACTAAACGGAACAGTAAGGACTCGGAAAGATAGGGACACTGGTCGTCGCCTTTGCCTACTCTCTTACTGGCTGATGCTCATATGATGTAAAAGATGAGTTTTACAGAAAGCTTTCCGACCTTCTCCGAAAACCTAGGTGTTCAGATGTAGTAATAATGGCTGGTGACTTTGATGCTTAAGTAGGTAAACTAAGCGAAAGGGGAAGACACCTGGCTGGATCTTATGGTGTCGCGACTCAAAGAACAGATAACGGCGACAGTCTGTTGCAGCTATGCTCAGATAACCGCCTGTTTCTTGCAAACACTAACTTTAAACATAAAGAGAAACATCTTTCGGCATGGTGACTCCCTAATTCGTCCCAACGCTGGACCCAAATATATCACATCGCTATCAACCACCGATGGAGGGGCTCAATAGAAGACTGTCGCTCGTTCTGGAACACATGCTTAGTTTTAGATCATGCTCTAGTGCGAGCGCGTATTTGTTTGCGTCTTACTGGACGTAGGAAAGATGGTGCAAGGAAACCCCTTAGGGTCTTACCTTATGATAGTCAAGCTAAGAGTATATTTCAGGAACAACTAGAAAAACAGTTAGGCAGCCATGTAAGCGATGCCCACCCCGAGGCAGCTGTAGAAACAGCAGTGATGTCTGCAAGTACGGTAAACCGTAAGGTTAGGGAGAAACACTGGATCTCATCAGCGTCTACCGCACTGATAGATGCTCGAAAACTCATTCCATCTGGTTCTGAACATAACGAAGAGCTGAGTCAGCTTAAGCTTAAGCTGACTAGAAGCCTACGCAATGATCGTGAACAGTGGTGGGTAGCGAAAGCAAGAGAGATGGAAAAAGCAGCGGCAATAGGTAACAGCAGACAACTGTTCAGACTTGTCAAGGAAACCGATATTAGGAACCCAACTGTTGAAGAAGCTATCTCCGAAAAAGATGGACATATTATTCATTCTCAATCCAGGAGATTGGATCAATGGGCAGAACACTTTAGGAATCAGTTCAACTGGCCTTCAGCCACACTCCGGTTTCCCACGATCTCCAATCTACCTGAATGGCAAGTTAATGTAAGTCCTCCGACTCTTTACGAAGTTGAAAAAGCCATAGGAAATCTGAAGCGTGGGAGAGCAGCAGGCCCTGACAGGTTTACCCCTGAGATTTTTAAGAATAGCGGTCCAGTATTAGCAGCGAGATTGACTGAGGTCTTAGGTAGAACCTGAGAACTGGACGTAATCCCATCTGACTGGTCTCAATCACTGATTGTGCCAGTCTATAAGAAAGGACAAAAGTCTTCTTGTGACAATCACAGAGGAATTAGTTTGACTAATAGTGTCTAAAATACTAGCTTCAATAATATTTCGACGCCTAACCAAAGCTCGTGAAGAGCAGACTAGAGAAAACTAGGCCACACAATTGTAGTATTTCTCGACCTTAAGGCGGCAATCGACTTTGTTTATCGCGAGGTTCTATGGCACTGTTCGTCACTGAAAGGAGTACCAAAGAAGTACATTAACCTTTTAAAGGTTCTCTAATCGAACACAACTAGTCGAGTAAGAGCTTATGGTGAACTGTCATCAGAACTGATAACCTCAAGTGGCGTTCGTCAGGGCCGTCCACTCTCTCCATTCTTGTTTAACTTTGTCGTTGACGTCCTTTTAGAGATGACACTTTCCTCATCTAAATTTCCAGGAGTTGAACTTCTACCGGGAGATCCACTTGTTGACTTAGAATATGCCGATGACATAGTTCTATTTGGTGAAGACGCTGACAAAATGCAGTCTGCTGACCACTCTAAGCAACAATGCAGGCATGTTTGGCATGTGATTTTCTCCCTCGAAATGCAAGATGTTGCTTCAGGATTTGGTTGCACCGCCACCCGAACTAGTGATAGGGAGTGAAGTAGTTGAGCGTGTCGACCGCTTCACTTATCTTGGAAGTCTCATCAGCCCTCGTGACGAAATCTCAGCACGGATACAGAAGGCTCGACTGGCTTTTGCCAACTTGCGTCATTTGTGGCGTAGCGAGATATCCGTCTATCAACCAAAGGACGTGTTTACTGCGCAGCAGTTCGTTCCGTCCTAATTTATGACTGTGAAACATGGCCAGTAAAACTATAGGATATTCGTAGGCTACTAGTATTCAACAATAGATGTCTTCGAAACATTGCTCGTATATCCTGGGACCACCGAGTAAGCAACTCAGTTGTTATGAAACGGGCACTAGGTAAGGATGACAAATCAATTGATGAAGTTGTGAAACTTAATCAGTTGAGATTGCTGGGACATGTGTTGTTCATGCCCGACCACCAACTGCCCCGACGTGCTATGTTTTATGGTGTAGGAGTAGGTTGGAAGAAAGCTAGGGGCGGCCAGACCAAAACATGGCACAAATCCATGAAGTCACTGACAAGTGGACTGAGTCATGTTGGTAGGTGTAGACTACCTGGTTGGGGACCGCGAGACGATAGCAACCGATGGTTATAGACCTTGAATGACATGGATCAAAATCGTTTGCAATGGTGTGCGCAGGTGCATCCACTCTCTGTGTTCTCTCAAACTCTAATCTTCTGAATTCTTCATGTCCTTTATTTTCTTTCCAAATCTATTCCACTGGATTATACTCCTTGAATAACATCATCAAACCCTAATGTTCCCCATCACTACTTATACTTTCACTACCTCTACGATTACGGGGTTTGAATCGATAACTGAATCTCTGTACTAATGTGGTATGGCAACTCGAACTGGTGTACATACGTACGAAGTTCCACGTTGTTACTGACTGACTGATGTATGTGCCTTGTCCTACGTTGTAACTGACTATTTATTATTTATTTATTTTAACACATAGGTATTGGTGCAGGGAGGCACCAAATACATATGCGCCACATGAGTCTCAATTGATTTGTGTGAGGGCTGTGATACTGCTCAGGTGCCCAGACAGATGCAGGTGGTTTTCCTAGGGGGCCACATCCCGAGCCTTCGACCTGAACGTCTGACCCACAAGGCAGTGGAGCATCGTAAGGAGATGCAGTCCCATGGAAGCCGGTGACCAACGATCGGCTCATGAGCCATTTGTTCCCTCAGGATACTGGAGCTAGCCCATGTGCACCATTGGTTTGGGATCCGGTTAAAGTGCCGGACATTCGCTTTTCGTCCTCTCATTTTCGTAGACAACACCCACGCCACGAGAAGGCAGTGAGTAGGACTTCCCTGGCAGAGGCTGTATACGCGTGGCCATGTGAGAGCATTTCGAGAGGGAGCGGACTCCCCACTCTCGGCCGTACCAGGGCATTTGGGGGCTTGTGACTGACTGACGTTAGATGAAATGTGGCTGGCAGTGGAATCCAGGGCGCGCGTTTTGTCCTTATACCAACGACTCCTGATCAAATATGTTGCGACTTTATGAGCCGCTTGTTATCACGTAATCAATTCGCCAATCAAAATAGGACTTATTCGCCCCTATACTGTACTAAACCCGGACGTTCGACCGGTCTGACCAGCCTAGCGTCCTATTGGTCCATTGCTCGCCTAACCCGTCCAGCTGAGTCCAGAATGCCAATAAAAGCCTCCACTATGCGAATCATTTATTTCAGACATACTGGGTTTATATACCAAACAGACAGACCGCAACGCACCATAAAATAGAAAATAACACTCGTACAAAATATAGCCAAAAAATGGCTGTGAACATGGGAGGCAGTAGTCAATAAACTGAACATAGCTTAAGAACAGTAAATTGTACAATAATGATATATAGGTCAAAATAATGCTTAAAACAAGGGGAATATAGATATATACAATCTAGTTACTGAATAGTTATACAGTAAGAATATATAGATAATATTAGTCCGTTAATAGGTCTCAGAAGTTACTCGTAATGTAATCTTCGCCAGGGTATAACAAAATATGCATATTTTTAGTGGCTATTATTTAATGTTGGTCATTTGCCAAGTACAGATTTATGTAACGGGCTTTGAGCCACACTTTGTTCGCATAAGGTCTAGTGATAAGTTGTTTGATTCTGTAAACGATTTTGAAAAATATTCCAATTTTCTTTATCAGTCATAATGTTAACGTGGAAGAAAAATGTATCATACAAAAAAAATTTCAAATTATGTACTGTTTTCAATGAATATGTTGAGATGTGTTTTTGATTCTTCTGTTTTGCAGTTGAACAATCGGTAAAGATACTAATCCATATGAGTCTTATTAACAATCTAACTCCCAACTAATTTATTTTCTTTAATAAAATCATCAATCGTCAGCAATCTTTATCGATCCACGCGCCGTGATCTCAAGTTCACCATATCAGTACTAACTAAATAGTATCGCTTAATTGTCGAATTCGGAATAGTAGTGATTGGAGTTCAAACCCAAGTTCAATAACCGTTAACTAACTCGTTGTTCTCTTCAGTTGCTTTCCACTTTCACACAGGTTCAAATACTAATTGTTATTGTGTAGAAAATCCTTCCCCTCATATTAACAGTAACCTTCATCAAACAGTCTCCCAAAGCGCGAGCACACTAATTTGTACAGGTTTTGCTCAGTTAAATTAAACTGAATTACAATGTTAATGTGATATGACAGGTAATAATTAATGCTGAAAATCAGGTCTTTTTATTTGATTGATGAGTGAGTGACCTACGGATTCCAACCTCGTACCTATTAAATGTCATCTAATCACGTCTTGTATTTAATATCTTTGGAGTTAAGCATGTTATTTTACTAGAGGGTGTTCATCGATAAGTTAATCTTATGAGCAGCTATTACTTTATCACATTGTACGGTTTCGGTTCATCTGTCAGCCATCATCATATTACTCACTTAAAAAATCCTTTAGTATACGACGTTTTCATTCGTCAAATACTGAAACCTACCCTCCATAACAGGACCTCATCCACACAACTCATATTTTCTTACCCGTATGACCGATAAACGTTTTTTGTTAGTTGTTACTATTTATCGGTCTATTCCTGCATTTTTCCATTCCGTTTCTGTCTAAAGTGTATTTTCTCGTAACCAAAATAATTTGTACATGTGGATGTGGGAACATACCCGTAACTTTGTTTTCATATTCTTATTGCATGCATATATGGTTTTTTAGAATTTGTTCATTTCTGTCCATTGTTTTTCTTCTAGGAATGACTACTCGTCAGACAGTAGCTGAAGTTGAAAAAGGTTATCGATTACCTTGTCCTCATACTCCTGAACATCCTTGTCCTGATGACTTATACAATCTTATGCGAAAATGCTGGGACGCTAGACCAGAGAATCGTCCTACATTTCGTTCTTTGTATGATGTTTTTGAAAACTGGTCTACGCACACAGAAGCTCAATATCTAGATAATTAGGATCCAATCTTCCTTTTTTCTTAATAATCATTCCGAGTTCATATTAATATTTCACTACGTGTACATTTCCGGTGAAGTATTTTTCTTCCTGTGAATTCTTGGTTTTTCTTTATGTACATACTAAATATTCACTTTTTATGGCCAGACTGTTCAAGGCGTATTTTACACGCATCTCTTTATTGTTTTATTAGCTACCTCTCTTGTCATTAATTTCTGTTACCTTTGTGTTTTCTATCAACTGTTTTCTGATTTCAAAAAATGGCACAGTATCCTGTTATCTACACATATATCTTGCGCCAGTAAATTTCTATGTAATACTGATATTTTGTGTCCCACAACTCTGTCTTACATTTATATTTATACCCATCCAGTATTTTAAAAGTTATACTGCTTTTGCTTCCGTAGGCAAAGAAAATAGCAATCGCAATTTTCCAATTCGCATATAGATTACTTTATAGGCCTCTGCATTTTCTCAAAATCTCATTTTAGCTAGGTTGTGTATATCAGTAACACTGCTAATCGATTTCGTTTTATATGTATTGTATAATTGTTATTCGGTTTTTGTAAAATATGTATATCCGCATTTTTAATGTAATTTCTTTTTTCTAATCCTCTCAATATGCTTTTTTTCTAGACTACCTTTAAATAATTACGCTACCAAATTTTTTTGTTTTTGTGTGTACAATATGAAGTGTAAAGTTGGAGAACAATTCCAGCACACAGCAAAGCTAATTATTATAACAATTTGCATCCAGTATACTTTAGTACTTTTCTTTTTCTAACGCCTAGTGTATATCTGATGTAACCTGAAAAGTATCACTATTCTACTGGTGCAAACATCTTATATAGATATATATACCTTTTTAGTTGGAAACAAACTATTTAGTGTCAGTATCACTCTACCGTCGTAGAAATGCCTGTAAATTCTGTGTGTTCCAATCCACTTAGTACAAGCAGAAAACATGTTCATGCGATTCTCTATATCTATTTTTATCGCCCTCTCTCTACCAGTTAATAATCGAATAAATTAAAGTTTGATTCACTTTATTTCACTTAGTGGCGTTTCTTTCTCATAAGGGTGATCTCACTACTGGTTGAATTGGTTCCTGGATGAGATTCTTAATGTCAGTATGTGCGCATTGTTCAATCTGTATTCATTACTCTAATTGTTATATAAATTATGAAACTAAAAGATCCAACATATAACATTTTCGCTTTTATTCTTGTTTCATGCATCCTTTTCTGATTCTGCCACTGTTTATTGCCTATGAATTGATCAATGTATTTCGATTGCGTGTATTATTCTTTGTCTTTCCTTTTATCCAACCGAAATGCAATTTTTGTGTATATGATTTGCGTTATCTGTTCACAACAATTATAAATAAAATAAAATGTACTAAATTCTATTCAAGTTAGTTGTTTTATTTAATAAAGGTATTTTTGTGGAAATTAGTTTAACTTGCAGGTTATGTTAATGATTGATTAATCTCAGTTGGCGTACAAACCAGAGATCGAACCCCATAATCTCAGGTTCTCGCAGTGAGCGCTTAACCATTAGAACCACTGAATATATGTCCAAATGCTCATCCCAAGTTCGATGACAGTTATCTCTTGTTAGCTTTGATCATATAATATGGTTAAAAGCTAAGAAATTTGCATTCCCTATTTCAATTTAGATTCTTTTTTTTCGTTCCTTAATATTTCTGGATATAACTTCGTAGTTAATTCATAGATGAAATTCGATTCGCACAATTTGTGTGCATTTAAAGTTGAAGGTAAAAGTCAACTAAATCATCATGTTTCTTTCCCATGGAGTTTGAATTTGGTGTAGATAGAGTTTGAAATTGGATTTAGAATAATTATAAGATTTGATGAATCTCACTGACTTCATTCGTCTGTAAAGTAAATAGATAATACCAATAAAAAAATTCAATAGTTGTTAAGCTTCTGAACACAAATCCCAATATGTAGACTGCATATACTAAGATATCATTTTACTTGGTAACTTGTTAATTGGTTTCGTCTATCGATAAGTTTTATGTGCTTTATCTTCTTGATTCAACCTAGAACGTAAAGATACGGTCAAAATGTGAACTTAAGTACCTCACTTATTTTTACACCAGTTTCAAATAATTGTTCCACAGTCGATTTAATGCAGTTTAATGGTCTCAAAGTGAATATATCCATTATTAGAACAAATTCTCGTTATGTTTATGCGATCATTCGTTAAAAATCGAATGAATAGTTTGACAGAAATTAAGCACCAAACCCATAAAAGACATCAAATGTAAAAGTTATATAATTGATTAATCTGAATGACTAAAATGTAGATAATTGCGATATTCCATCTAGTGAACCTTCCTGAACTTTTACAGAAAAAAATAATCTATTTCATTATTTTCCGCAGAGCATTTAATTTCGTGGACCATAGTTTTTACTTGTTATTTTTATAATTATTATCTTTTTGTACTTGATGTCTATTTTGTGACTGTAGAGCTTAGTCATTTAATTTAACTTTATTTCATTTTTCAGCATTACGGAACACTAATTAGTTCTAATGCTATATTTGTTTATATCAGATATAGGGTATGCATCATCATTGCCAATAAACAATAGTTGTATACTGTTGTGAATTTGGGGACTTTTTCTTATGATGTGTCTTCAGAGCCAAATGTCTTAATTTCAGAACTTTCAATGTCATTTTGGACATCATCATTATAAGCATGTACTTCATGAAGAAGTCAGCTTTATGTTTATTACTCAATGAAAGTTTTACATGTTACTTCATTAATAGTTTGATTGTTTCTTTGACTTTTTTAATCTCTTGTGTGTTAGCGAAATACCATACATATCGAGTTTATATATCAGAATACTTTTCTGAAAGCACGATATTTTATGTTAGAAAATTGACTATTCTCAATTTTGACTTAAATCTACAGAAACATTGATTTAAAAAAAATCATCGGTCAGTAATTTAAAGTTCGAGGTGTATCTTATATCTGGGCACTGGATTTCGTATAAGAATACTAGAGCTATGATTGTTTCATATTTTCACTATATAGCGATAATTCATCGAAATCATGAACTGATCTAAGTTAGACTACCATCGAAACCTGGGGCCATTGGACAGTCGTTCCGTCCTAACATGAGACCTCCCAGCATTGCGTATCCATGACTCCGCATGGGGAGTTGAACGTAGGACCTTCAGTCTCGCACATGAACGCTTAACCTCTAAAACACTGAACCGGCATCCAACGGTGTTACTGTCTAACTTTAATCAATACACGATAGTTAACGACTATCCTTCATTGTCATTTGTTAGTATCTTCCTCACGCGTGACACGGTTTAGCTCCTTCGGTAACGGCTTCTCACTAGAATTCTACAATCCCTTATTGGAGACGGCACTCTATTTCTTGAACAAGTTCTTCAGACTACTTGTTTTGTTAATTTATTTTTTGTTCTATCTTCCTATTATTTTGTCATGTTTTACTAACTGGTTTATTGCTAACCTCCACTTATGGGTTATCTTTCCCTTTTTCACGTTAACGCTATTTAGTCATCACTTGTGGTTGATGAGATTGCTAGCTATTAGTGAAATTACGAACCGACCGAATTAAGATAACCATTGAAAACTTGGAAGCACTGGACAGCTGCTTTGTCCTAGTATGGGACTTAGAAGTACATATTCAAAACCTCACTACAGGAAATCAAACCCAGCACATTTTATCTCTTGAGCTATCCTCTAGGCCACTGAGCAGGGATCCAAAAGCGTATTATTTAGTCACTTGGGAATTGTGATAAGATAATTTGTAGTATAGAAATAAACTAGAGTGATTCTTTAAGTAATTACAATAAATTTTACATTCATTCCTAACCAATCAGGAAACGTTGTAATTAAATAGTTTGTATGAAAAACCTGGTAATATAAATGTCATACATATTTTACATGACTAATGCATTCAATGAAGTTTTAGAATGTGTTTTCATATCTGTACATGGAAAAGACAATAGTATGTAAATTCATCCGTGTTGCCATGTAACATCTGTCTTCTCAAACACTTGTAAAGATGTAAATAGTAGGGTTTCTTTTTGGAGTACACACATTGTTTCCTGTTAGACTTTTGTTTTAAAAATGTGCTTGATTTGCGTGCTATTTACAATCTAAATAGAAGCTACTGAGGATTTTACAAGTGCAAAACAATCGTTTTTGCTCTGTGATTACAAAAGTAAATTTTTGTTATAATTTTAAACTTTATGAGCAGCATACAAAGTATTTCTGCTGTTCACTTTATTACATATAAAATGAAGTACGGGGATAACCATCCTCTTTTCAAATGTGATATGAATGTGTAATGTCTAGCATTTAGTGTGCCAGTACTGCATAAATGAGTCAAATTTTTACTAGAAAATTCATTTTAATCATCTCAGACTATCTACATGTCTTATGTAAACACTACAGCATAGCTCATTTCAATTTACCGGATAAAAATAAATGAGATGAAAGTTAGAGCTTGAAATGGGATTTTCAGTGAAAATTATACTCTTACCTACAGCATCCACTCACTGAATGAACGAAAGAATTCTAGATATAGGATACATATTGAAAATAAAGAATTACATGCGATAAGAATCCACTAATACGTGCCCTTCCCCAACATAAGTCGTCATTTTTGAATTTCGCGCAAAAAAGTATGTCGATCCTGATTGGCTCGTACACATATATCATACTTTTAGCTTAATCTTTATATGAGTTTACACTTAAACTTCTGTAACGGAGTAAATATTAAGCAAAGCTGAACTTCCTAAACTGTATAACTCGAACTCATTATTTATATTTTTGATGTATTACTAAATACAAATTTTGTATCCTTATATTCTTCTGCCTATAACCTTTGGTTTGACGCACAAACTATTGTCGTTTTCTATACATTTTGATCAGAATGGGGTTTATGAAGATTGTAGTAATTTTGATAGTCGAATTCATGAGTCAATATAACTAGACCACTATGGAAACACTGGACGGCCGTTTAGTCCTAGTATGGGACTCCTCAGCAGTGCTCATCCACGGTCCTGCACGTGGAATCGGAACCCAGGACCCATCAGTATCTCACGCGAGCGCTTAACCTCTACACCACTGAGCCGGCATCCGACGGTGTTAACGTCTAACTTCAATCAATCCATAACTTAGTGATTAACCCACACAGCAAAGCCGAATACCACTAGAAGCACCCGGTCTCCGCAAGCCTACAAATAGGTCTTACTGACATTTGTCAACTACCACGAAACCCGATTACGTTTAACAACATAAAAAAATGACTTCAACTACTTTTTGGTTAGCTGATTAATTATTTTCGTCTTGCATTTACGTTTATCAGTGGTACACTACATAACTGTTCATCAACTCAGATTTCTACTCTTCATATTTACCAATACAGAAAATGAAATTCTACAAGGTGTAAAGTATTGGATCCGAACCGCACTGAAGCTAAAAGTAGAGTGAACAGTTATGAAAGAGAAAACACAATCATGTATGTAAGTATGGAATGGTATCAAAACTGAAGATTTGTTAGGGGATAAAGAGTAACATATACTAAGACAATTCGGAGTCATATCACACTACGATTTGTGATGTGTATATCATGCAACATCCGTTTGTCGGCATATATCTGTATGTCTCAGGGTTATATAATTGGGTGAAGTTGGTGGAAACTGTATGTTTATGCTTGTATTTGGAGTTGAGATAGAAGAAAACCGAATGTAATTCTAAAAAAACACCAAACACACAATTCTAAATTCAAGACAATCGAGTAACAAACCAAAATACTGAAGGTGAAGTTTTTGATTATTCAAAAGATCTCGTACTTCTATTTTTAATTACTTATCAAAATACATTTATGCGTTCAGAACCGGTATCTCTGTCATTTACCCATCATTTACTTTACTGTTTTAAAGGCCACCTACAAGCTATTCATACTGCGGAATTGTACAATTAACAGTGCATTTTATATAGACTGTGAAATTCTCTTCGATAGACTACTTTTCCTTTTTTAACCGATTACATGTTTTCTCAATGCTTAAAAGGTCGTTTTTCTTTTGATCGTTAGTTCTACCCCGTCATATCGTGGTGTTTGTAAGCTTTCGATCTTCGCTTTATTTTGTGATATAACACAGCATTTAATTACGATAATAATTCGGACTGACTATACGAAACAAAATAAACTGTTTGAATGGCCCAGAATATATTAAACTTAATTAGCAAATTACAAGAATATAATAGAGTATGGTTTGTGTTAATGTTTTTACTTGTCTAGTATTTCCATACCTAGTTCCCTTGACTAGACATAAAGAATAAACAAAAGCAAGACTTATTCCGATGAACTGAAAAAAGAATACTGTAGTGAAAGTAAT